TCCCTGGATGCGGAGAAGGCCTTTGATAGGATTGCCTGGGACTATCTGAAGGAGTCTTTGGTGCAATTGGGTCTGGGTGAGAAGATGCTCAATTTCATAATGTCCCCTGTATTCAGCCCTACTACTGCGCGTGTGTCCGGGTCAATGGCCATTTGTCAAACTCATTCTCTTTGGGCAACGGCACATCGCGTCAGGGTTGCCCCCTCTCTCCACTCTTGTTCGTCCTTTCCTTGGAGCCCCTTTACGGAAGTTGCGCTCTAAACCCCGACATCAAAGGAATTGGGGTCTCGGATAAGGATATATAAGCTTGCGGCCTACGCGGGACGATATTCTTCTCTTCCTTGCAGAACCGCATATTACTCGTCTGCCGATTTACTAAAGGATTTTGCATTTTTTCGTTATTTGTCGAACTTCAAGATTAAACATTTTCTAAGTCTTTCGCTCTCAACGTCACCTTGCCTTCGGAAGTGGTTTCTGATTGTGAGTCTCGTTTCCCATTTCAGTGGGAAAGGGATTCACTTTCTTATTTAGGTGTAAAGCTTACCCGCAAACCCCCCGACGATTTATACGCTAAGAATTTTTTTACCCACTCTTCGTTCTCTCCAAGGGGATCTGAATAAATGGCTTTTCGTGGTTTGGAAGAGCTGCGATAATTAAAATGAACATCCTTCCTCGCCTTCTCTACCTCTTTCAAACTCTGCCCATCCACATAACCGCTTGCCTTCTTCACATCCTGTAGGAGTCTCTGTTCTCTGTTCCTTTGGAACCATAAACGCCCGCGAAAGCATTGCTTATTCCCAACTGATTTCTCCCCTAAAACTTGATGTGGTATTGGCCTTCCTGACCTTCACGCGTTACTATTTGGCGTGTCAGCTCTGCCGTGTAGTGGACTGGCACGTCCATTCTGCTTCTAAAGATTGGGTGCAGCTAGAACGTGCCTTCTCATTCGCACCCCTGATTTCGATCCCTTGGCTGCCAGCTGAAGCATACGCCTCAGGTTCTTCTCACTCACCCTTGATAGCCCTACCCTGAAAGCCTTTCCGCTATAAAAAAAAACTGCAAATCATCATCTATTTCTGCTGCGTCTCCGAACTGTCTCACTTCCATCCGACTCAACCCTGACTTCCCCCCTGGAATGCACAAGAACTTTCTATCTGAACATTGGCCGCATGATCAAATTTTAGCCAAACACTTTCTCCCACGAAGGCCAGATTACGAAATCACTCCACGAACTGCGTGAAAGCTTGGGTACCCGCGATTTTTTTCCTCTCTGGTTTATTTGCAAATAAGGCATTATCTGCTCTCGTCGCATAAACCTTTCCGTGATTGGACCCGCCCTCTTACCCCTTTTGAGGATATTTGCTCGAGAGGAGAACCGCGTAAGCATTTTGATTTCAGAAATATTTACCCCCCTCTTAATTGAGAATAGGGCCTATAACTCCCTACCCTCCACACCTGTCAGGCCTGGAATAGAGATCTGGATGAAAATTTGTCGGATTCCGACTGGGCACGTGTATTCAAATAATTTCTCATAAATGCTCCCTAAATGTCTCAACGCAGGAAAACGGTTACAAATTGGTATCGATGGTGGTATCGCACCCCTTCACGAATCTCATTTTAAATCCTTCTTATCCCAATATCTGTTGGAGGTGTGGGCTGCGGACGGATCATTTTACACATCTGGTGGTCCTGTCCGAGCATTCAACCCGTTCTGGCAAGAGGTTCATAGGATTGTAGTTTCGGTGACGACCGAGATAAAAAAAGCCTCTGGATCTGTCTCCGGCCCAGTTTTTCTCCTCCATCATTCCTCCCTCCGGGGGGACAATATCATAGATCTTTGGCCATGCATATGGTCAACGCGGCCAGACTCTGCCTTCCCGTTCTTTGGGGCTCTTCTCGCCCCCCCTCGGATTCGTGATTGGCTCGTCCCGTAAGTGGGTAAAATGGCAGTGTGTGACATACGGAGGAAATCACGAGATTGCGTCGGCCCCTGATGACGGCACTCCCACTAAATTTTCCCACAACACCAATCTGGGTTGCGCGGATGCTTTGATCTATTTCACAACTCGTGTCTCATCAACTCCGCATTCCAAGGGCTCTCGTGATGACCAACTAGGTCTGACTTGGGTCCAGCTTTCGCCCTGCCGATTACTTCTTTACAGTAGTTTTCTGTGGTAGGCACTGTGACTCATTTTCGATAATGTCTCCTTTCCATGCGACTCTGGCGTTGGCTCAACTCTTATCCCCATACATGATTAACCCCAGATATTGCTATCATTACTCACCCCATATGTTCCCCCCCCCCCCCATCCTCACCCACTATTAATTTTTTTTTTTTTGCACCCCCATCCTCCCCTTTCTGTTCCCATCATTTTTCTTTCTACCCTTTTTGTTTTTCTTTCTTTTTTTTTCTCCTTTCTCTTTTCTTCTCGCCTTTTGCTTTGCTACGCTACCTGGAACATTAGACATGCCATTCTTTCACTCTCCCCACTTCCATCAACGGCTCCTACCGCAAAGTTTTCCGGTTTTTGTAACTCTCCCCATCGTCATAAGTTTTTGACCGAATCTTACGGTCAGGTGCTATGACCACTCTTCCTATCGCTACAGCCCTACATGACGAAGCACGAGTGCAGGGGAGTATTATTATATGATGCTTTACACCCCATACTATACTATATTGGCTCCGGTTTGCTGCAAGCATATCCTTATTGTACTCGGGTTATGTATCATTGCATTATCTGTATTTTCTTGTTTGAGTTACTGCTGTGTCGCTGTAGATTGTGCCTGCTGTTTCGCTTAGGCACCCTGTACGTGTCTTTTGTACCATTATGTTTTGTATTAATAAAGGCTTTCTTTTTGGAAAAATAAACACACCAGAAATGCATGTAAAATTCAACTCTGTAAAAAAAAAATGCCCTGGAAACGCATAGGGTCCTTAGGGTGTTGGTTGTGTACAATGAAAGAAAAATGGCACGTAGCCAGGGGCGGACTGACAACTCATGGGGCCCCCGGGCAATAAGAGATCATGGGGCCCCTGTGTCCTTGCTCAGACTCAAACCACACCCAAAAAGGTCTATGAAAGGCACCAGGGGCATCTCATGGGGCCCCCTACTGACCCCCGGCCCTTGGCAGTGCCCGAGTGCTCAAATAGTCAGTTTGCCCCTGCACGTAGCTAAATATAGCAGTTTTATAGGAAAAGTACTGTTTATGTATTCACAAGCATATCCCAAAAAAGTGAGCATGGAAAGGGTTAGAAAATCTGTAAGGTTTTCACTGTTGTCTGTGTAGTATGCCTACGAAATGTTGTTGCACTAGGGCAAAATGTGTGTTTGGACTACAACAGATCCCCCCCTACTCTTCAACTCTAAAACATTTATGTTCTGTAGTGTCCTGAGGTGCGCTGGAAAGGGCTGATAACACCACTTGAGATTTCAGTGCCACAGAAAATTAGGAGCTAACTGGATTTCTTGCAGGGTCTGCAGATAATTCTTGACCTTTTAAACAGATATAACTAAACTATTTCAATTATATATTTAGTGTATAAAATAAGTTCATTGTTAGAGTTTATTCTACTCCTTAAAGGAGGAGTATAGACAAAGCCCTATTGGCTATGCTTCTCCTGTTGATCACAGGTGTGCAGTTCATTTTGCACTCTATTACCCATTTCAGCCAAAGCCCGCTGTTGGCTTCCGTCACTCTGCTACTCCAGGCTTAGGAAAGATCAGCAGCTTGCTTGGCATCTCAGAAAGCCACTGAGAGCCTGAGCCAGCCGCTCCCACTCCATCCACAGCCCAGCACCACAGTGAGCTCTGGAGGAGCAGAGCACAGAGATGGTGACTGACAGTCACCTGCTCCCTGCAGGCTGAAGACTGAGAGCAGTCAGCAGACTTTGATTGCTCAGTTCACAGCCTTAGAGGTGGCTGGGGACAGCTGCAGCTGGAATTGGTGCTGCAGCCATCTAGGTGAGTATGTCTTATTTTTTAAAGCCCTACTTCTCTTTTAACTGGGTTAGGGATTATTAAAATATATTGCTGTTATAGCAGATTTACAACTCCAAGACATATCATGACGTTTTAGGCTTGTGGTCATGAGAAAGATCTGTGTGTTTTTATTTCACTGGACTATAATTTCCCTTTAGTGAATGGCCCTGTGGGCCCATTCAGAACTGAGTATTGAAGTAACGTGTGGTAAAATCTGATTTAACACCTATATGTTAATACAACTTATAGTGTGAATAGGCCCTAATTGGGTTTTTTTTTTATTTTTTTTGGTGAACTGCTGTTGTGCAGTTATGAAATTATGAGATGTTCTAGAGATAACTTCCATTATATTTGCAAAGATATGGGGCAAAAGAAAAATCAGTCGAAAGCCTGAGCTGAGCCAATGAATGATCACATCTTCCTTCCACTGGAGCAATATCTAAGCAGCTTTGGGGTGAAAAAGTTGACAGTTGTCAATATACTCACTGATTGTTGCCAAGCAAGGCCTAACATGAGCCATTTATTGCACATAATCTGCATATTTTAGCAGACGTTCACATCCAGTTGCTGTGGGTTACTGCACCTCTCACAACATTATTGGTCTTAGGACTACTTTATTAAATTAACCAAATGGTGCATCTGCCATCTGCAGATCATTATCCCATCAAAGTGAAAACTCCCAAGGCCATAACAAATTTGTGAGAGGCATATTGTATGCTTTGATGAGCATGTGTAATTGTTTTACCAGAATCCAATAAAATTAACAGGTCCATTTGCAGCAGCCAGATAGCCTAAAGTTTCCACGCCTGTGCACGATATCTAAAGGAACACGAGGTTGCTACCACGCTGTACTATTTGCATGGGAGCACAATGAGATTAATGTCTGGCTCCAGGCACAGTCTGTTTAAGTAAGACAAACTCCAGTGCTAGCCTACTGTTATTTACTGCCTTAGAACAACCTGGTTTTCTAGTACGTCCATTCATCCAAGAACAACATTAACTTCAGAGAATGCTTGGTACCTGTACAGCAAAATCAATGAGACCATTGATGTTCAGAGCTGGCTCCATTAAATCAAGTATAAGTTGGACATGGTGAGCCAGAGGAAGGTGGTAAGACGTTCCTGAAGCAAAGCTTGTAATTTGTTCCAGCACATTGCAGGATATCTGGGGACACAACCAGCAGAAGCATCATTTCTCAACAATTAATTATCATACACAATAGAAGCTCACACTGTGCACACGTAAGTACATTTCATTCTTCCTAATAAAAATGTGTTTTACTTATCACTTGGACTTAAGGCAGAGATATGTTTAGGTCCTCTAAATATTCAAATGTCTGCCTCTAGATGTGGTGTAGTACTAGTCCTACTACAAGTTATGTAAGATGTATTCATATACTGTATATTGCATTATAGTCACTAATGTTGCAATGTTATTATTGCACTGTATAATTCTTAAAGTATGACTTAAGGCAACACTTTTGTTATAGATTTTTTTATAGAATGGAGTGGGATTAGAACCCCTGTCGAGTTTCCATTGCTGTCTATGTCCCCGTTAGGGAGATTCACCCACTCTATATTTCCTGTTGACTGGTATCATCAAGAGTGAAAGAAAATGGCAAATGTTAGGTTGTCATCAGAATAGGCATAGAGGAAAAATCTTCCAATAGTTCTGTGACCCTGATGACAACCAATTTTAGAGGAATTTCCTCTCACCTCCTGTTATGGCTATGGGACAGGAAGTGAATGGAAAATCTTCCCAATGGAATACAGATGGCAAAAAAAACTGATGGGGTAAAATCATCCTTTACTTTATCCAAAATGAAAACATCTTTTGGCTTCAGTTCTGCTTTAATAGCAGTAATTTGCAATAAAGTCTACCACCCCTGAAGTCAAACATGAGGTACATGATCTTTTGTAGAGATAATTGGGATAGTCACAGAGTTGGTCACAGATTGTTCAGCATGCCGAAAGAGTTATTCTGATCCTACTGCAACAAGGGAAGGCCCTTTCACTGTGCACATGGTGCAGGAAATTATAGGGTGATGCCACAGTTAGTTCAGCAATCACTTGAACACCAGGTAGATTTCCGATATTTAATGATAATATGTCTTTGTATGGCCAGCACAATGAAAGAGATTCAAAACGTAATTGCAAAAAGTAAGAGTAACAGGAGATTTTCCAGAAAAAAGAAAGGGAAAGAGAAGCACTAGGCTGCAGGTAGTGTAGCCCAGTTTATAAGGAAGACATCAATATACAATAAAATTCACTAACAAGAGTCTAGCCACCTCCTGTCACTACATGCCCATTATTTTGGACTTTTGTGAGTAATTTTATTGTATATTGATGTCTTCCTAATAAACTGAGCTACACTATCGATGGCCTGTCGCCTCTCTTACCCTTCCTTTTTTCTGTTACAGTGCTTGGGATCCCAGCCCTCTAGAGAAGGCAGTCTCGCTCCAGCCTCTTGTTGCTAGCCAGTGACTTTTACTTTCTTCCATTTAACCTCCAGAATCAGACTATATATATATATATATATATATATATATATACACATAGTTGCAAGAAAAAGTATGTGAAGCCCTTGGGATTACGTGGAGTTTTGCATGAATTGGGCATAAAATGTGCTCTGAACGTCATCTAAGTCACAACAATAGAAGAACACAGTCTGCTGAACACAATACTACACAAACATTAGATGTTGCCATGATTTAATTGCACATAACATGTAAACATTCACAGTGCAGGGAGGAAAAAGTATGTGAGGCCCTAGCTTAATGACTTCTCCCAGAGCTAATTGGAGCCAGGAGTGAGCCAAACTTGACTCCAATCAGTGTGATGATATTGGATGTGTTGCTGACAGCTGTCCTGCCCTTAAAAAAACACACACCTGTTTTGGGTTTACTGGTTTCAAGAAGCACTGCCTGATGTGAACCATGCCTCGCAGAAAAGAGCTCTCAGAAGACCTACGATCAAGAATCCCAAGGGGTTCACATACTTTTTCTTGCAACTGTATATTCTTTATTTTGGATTCACACTTATAGTTTTATATGCTGCTATTGAGTGGGTTTTAGGCCATTTAAATAATATTAATAACCACTGTGTTGCTGCAGATATGTGCACACAATTCAAACCCAACCCCTATACATGATCCAATTTGATCTGCTAGGATTACCTTCTGATGATAGCAAAGGTAGCACTGAGTGAATGCTTTTTTTCTGTCATAAGAGATTTTCCAGCATGCTCCACTATTACATCAGTTCCCAGTTTCTTGTCGGGAGTGTCTACCTGCACATGCACTACATATTTTCATTGTTAGGGGATAATAGCCCTAAGGTCAAATTGTAGGGGCAGTGAGATACCAAATAGACTAATAGTGGTAACAAACTATATCTTTTTACAATATAACTCATCATTCTTTAGTGCCTTATACACACCAAAGTTAGTAATGTTGTCTAAGCCAATCTTTTTCAACTAGGGTGTCTTCAGGTTTTGGCGGGGGTGCCTTGGCAAAAACGTTTAAAAAGTGCCCAAACATTGTACACAAGCCATGAGGTGGAACAAGCCTGCCTTTTTGTTACACAAAGCCACAAGATTTAATTGTGCACCATTACGACCTTACAGCAACTGGCGTCCTAACAATCAATTACATCATTGGTTGATAAGGGCTGTTGGGTGCCTGCACAGCATGCGTGTTGCCCCTTTCTGACAGTACTGGGATCACATTAGCTGAATGAGGGAGAAGAGAAACATAGGAATACTAGCCAGTACCAGTGTGCAGAGGTGTATTTGCTTTGTAAGAATAAATCACCTCTAACTTTCGGTGTCCTACATATGTGGCTATTGCCGCATTATGTAAAACTTTTAGTTTAGTTTTTCACAGTTTAAAATGGGGTGCTTTGAGATTGCCTAGCATTTTAAAGGGTGCCTTGACTGGAAAAAGGTTGAGAAACACTGATTTAAGCATTAAGTTCACAGCACAATAATAAAAGTAAATCTATGAATGTTTAAACGGTAACTATGTATGTACTGTAATAAAATATGTATGCATAGTTCATATCTTTAATATTTCATTATCTCAGAATAGTTCATCCAAATTCTGTTTCAGAAAACCTTTTTTTTTTCCAGACACAAAACTTTATTGACAATTAAAATATTTTATATTGACAACTGGTAAGAATTATGTTTATGCCAGTGAAAAAAAAAAAGTACATATAGTTACACTAATTGTAGACATACAAATGCATGATAATAGCATGTGGTTCTAAAGGTAGAAGTTTTTTTTACCTTTTACCCTCTTCATGACCAGGCAACTGTTTGCTATTTAGCACTGCACTACTTTAACTGGTAATTGCCTGGTCATACAACGCTGTACCCAAATGAAATTTATATACATTTTCTCACACAAAACATAGCTTTCTTTTGGTGGCATTTGATCACCACTGGGATTAAAAACAATCTTCATAAATATAAGCCAAAATGCATTCTGCTACGTCTTTGTTATAACAAAATCCCAATAAGTGTATACTAATTGGTTTGCGCAAAAGTTATAGCCTCCACAAACTATGGTATGTATACTGGAATTTACGCAGCTATGACGCTATACAGGGAAGCTGCAGGAACCCCATGGCGTAAACAAAGAAGATGGTGGAGTGGGGCTGGATATGTAGCTGGGAAGTGGTGCAAGCAAAAAGCACAATACTGGATCTGCTGGGCTTGTCAGTATGCTATTATAACATAAGAAGAGCACAAAAGATTAGGAGGGAAAAGTTTGTATATTTCATAGGGAGTGTAAAGTTCTTCCTTAGCCACTTGCCCTCCACAGGATTTACACCCCCCCCCCCCCCCCCTTCCTGACCAGGCATTTTTTGAGATACGGGGCTGTGTTAATTTAACTGACAATTGCGCAGTCATGCAACAATGCACCCATGTGAAATTTATGTCCTTTTTTTCCCACACATGGAGCTTTCTTTCAGTGGTATTTGATCTCCTTTGCGGGTTTTTTATTTTTTGCACTATAAACATAAAGAGACTGACAATTCTGAAAAGAACAATATTTTTGACTTTTTGCTATAAAACATATCCAATAAAAAAAATTAAAAAATCTAATTTTGTCATAAATTTAGGCCAAAATGTATTCTGCTACATGACTTTTTTTTAAAAATCCCCAATACGTGTAAATTAATTGATTTACATGAAAGTTATAGAGTTTACAAATGGCAGTATATATACTGGAAGTTTTTTTTTCATACCAGTAATGGCAGTGATCATTGACTTATATTGAGACTGCAGGATTGCGGTGGGCATTCTGACACTGAGTGGGAACTGACTAACTGTCACTGACATCCTCAGTGACACTAATACAGTGATCAGTACTAATAAAAAGCACCGACACTGTACTAATGACACTGGGCAGGAAGGGTTAACATCTGGGGCAATCAAAGGGTTAACTGTGTGCTGTATGTGTTTCACATTACTGTATGTGCTGTGTGTATTGTACTGTGTAAGCATGCTGCTTGCTGCTTTGTATTGTTCTGCTATGCATGCAGTATCAGAATGCATATACAAAGATCTGTAGACATACAGACCTCTCCCGTGTCAGTATGGGGGTTGTCTGTATGCGTGTTGAAGAGTTCATGTTTAGTGGGAGTAGAGAGTGGTGAGCAAAGGGAGTGTCTGTATGGGAAAGCAGTCAGTTACATTTTTTGTAATCTATCAGAGTACAATATTGGAGGTATGGTGTTGGCCAGAACTACTTCCTCTGAGTGCTTATTTCAGATGATTGCAAAAGAAGCAAAGAGTATGGCTTGAAAGTGATGGAACTGAACAGAATTCTGGGGTGCATCACTAGAAGGGTCACCAGCAGGAAGGAGGTTGATTTCCCTTTAGAGATCCATTTAGAATACTGTGCCCAGATATTGATAAGATAGAATGAGTCTAGCCTTTTTCTTGTTACAGTTTGCATTTGTAAGCCCTCCATATGTGCCCATTTTTCCCATTTACAACCACTTTATGTTTATGGGTAATTTAAAGAGGTAGTAAACGGTGTCTAACAAAAAAAAATTCCAG